TTACAACAGTTAGTGACAGTTCAAAGTAACAGCGGCATTGAAAAAAGGGACTTATGACCATTTTTCATAGTAATGACCTTGGCAACATCCCCATGATCATGTGATCAAAATTCAGACGCTTAGCAGCTGTTTATTTATGAACTTTGCTATGTCCCAGGGTCATGTGATCCCCTTTTGTGACCTTCTGACGGGCAAAGTCAACGGGGAAGCCAGATTCACTTAAGAACCATGTTACTAACTTACCAACTGCAGCAATTCCCTTAACAATTGAGGCAGACAAAGTCGTAAAATGGGCTAAAACTCACTTAACAAATGTCTCACTTAACAATAGAGATTTGGGGCTCAATTGTGATAGTAAATTGAGGACTACCTGTATATATGTTTAGCTGTTGCTTTTTCCTTCGCTGTATTATATCTGCACCTCCTAGTAAGAGTTCAGAGCGAACTGGGTTGAGTATTAAAAGTCTTCAGCCACCAAAGGCATGCATTTGTGCCACCCTGGTCAACCGTCGTATATTATGGGAACGCATTTCACTTTTTTGTTGTTCTAAATTATTTCTTTTCCCAAACTGAGAGTGCTATAGTAGCTTCATAGAAGTTGTTAAGTAGATAGTTCAGGGTAAAGATCAGAAGAAAAATCAAATCAGCATGTAAGATGAGATACAGGAACTACATCACAATGTTCTAGTGAAAATTTTTACCTTGTTGCCTAATTGTGATGTCACTGCTGAGGTTCAACATCTTTGCACTTAATGGAGAAGAAAAAGAAATCAACTGAACAGGTACATAATTATTGGAGTAATTGTTCTTAGACCACATATGAAATGCAATACATAGAAAAGGACATTGTAGCTCTTCTTTTCAAGGACCTGTCTTTTTACACGTGCCACATACTTGCAAAAAGGGGTATGTTGTATGCCTGGTCATGGCCACTGTTTTTTGATTTCACTGATCTCTCTTGTGGACACCGTGGGATGCAGTCTTTGGAAACAGCAGTAGACCTGTTTTTAAATAAGGTTTTAGTATTCCTTTGAAACAGGCCTAGACTTGTGATTAAAAAATGAATGTTGTTGCACCAAAGGTTGATTTAAATCGAAAAAGAGAGCCAGGTGCTGCTAGCTGTGTGCTGCACCACTGTCATTCCCATAGGGATTTCTAAAATATTCCTTCCAACATTCCTTCACTTCAGTTTTATAACAAATCATTTCCATTGCTGTTTTAAAAAAAATTCCATTGGCTGTATTGGATGCCCCTTGTTTAATCCTTGTTTAATCCTTCTTATCCACTTCCAAAACAGTTTTTTTTTTAATTTTTAGAAAAATCACTGCATTTTCTCTACTTTTTAAAATTTACAAATAGCAATTCATTTTAATTTGTTCCAAACAAGAAATACCTTTTCTTTTCTTATTGCTACTTTCTGTTCATTCTGTTGGGTGAGGCATCTGTCTTCTGTTGTTTTTTCATGTAGGACATATACTTTTTTCTTCTTGCATTCTGATGTCTTACATTTTTGTTTCTATTTTAGTTTTTCCACAGATCTATCCATGATCCTGTTTTAAAATGGTACATTCCTCACATTCGTAATCTCTCACCCTTCTTGCATGCTTCACTAATTTGTTGATTCTTTCATTATGAACAACCATTGTGCTTTTAGATTGCCATGAGTACATAGGCCCCCATTTCTAATTAAAATGATGCCAAAATCACGAAGCTTCACCATGACACACAGGCCAACCTTTCATATTTGCATGTTTGCAACACTGCTTGAAAGAATGTAAGAGACAGAGCTTGTATCACAATAGCCTCAAGCACATTTTCTCATTTGGTCCTCCTTACCCACCTTTAGGTGATTATGTGTTGTACTTGAGTGCTTATGCCTAAATCACATACTCAAAATAAGTGGGCCTTTTTGCAAAGTGTCATTGGGCCCCATAGCATTTATTCCTGAATCTCTAAGTAGCCTAATTACTTTTAATATACTTGCTCGTCTCACCTATTCATGTCACTTAGCAGGATATTTTTTCCCTAGAATTACATTGATTCAGAATGTTACAGTTTTTTTACTCAAAACTCATCTCTGGTTCTCTCATTATCACTATTCACAGAAGTGCACATACAATTATCACCAGCCAATGGATTTCTATTTCTGTACATACTCACAGCACCTTGAATGATACCAATTTATATTTTCCTGACATATACTTTAGGTTTCTCTTTCATAATTAAATCACTCATTTCATTCTATTGCAAGTATTCATTAACTCCATTCCACAAGATCAGACTACATTCAAATTTATTATCTTTCTCCTGATTTCCCATACAGCATATCTGTATAGTTTATTCCATTCTATTCCATTTCATTAATTATGCTTTCATCTTTTATCCTCTTACATATCTATAACCCCATGGATATTGCCCTCTGCCACCCATCATGGTTAACCAAGGCTTTCATATAATGCTTTTTAGTAAGATAAAGTACTTATTACTTACTTTTGTATGTACAGAATAGTTTTCAGTCTAAGGCAAGTTATATTGAATCATATATACATATATAATGTACATACATAAACTCTGTGCGTGTGCATGTGTTGAAAAGATCATTGAAAATACTGAGTAGTCTGTCTTTTATCTGGCTGCTTAATCTTTATTTTATTTATTTACTAGCTCTATACTCGTGCTTCACTATGAAGGACTTAGTTTTGGGGAAAGAAAATAAGGAGAAAAAAATTGTGGCTCTGCCTTCTAGCATCCATTGGTATTCATCTGGCTAACATCCTGTCAGTGTGTGAGAGTTGAGGGCTGTTTGGAAACTTAAACATGGAAACTGAAACAGTATTTGCTGTGTGAGCAAGGAGACAGCAAGGAGCCTGGGCATGGCTTAGCTCAACTGTTCTGTACTAAAGCTGGTTGCTGCTGTAAAACTGAAACTGAAACTCCTCTCCTCTGCTGGTGTTTTGCATTTGGAACAGATTTCTTTTCAGGTGTGGAGGGGGGAAGTAGAACTCCTTAGCATCAGAGCGTGTTAATAATAATATATCAAATACTAAGGCTCTGATGGTCATTTCGAAAAATCCTTTCTTAGTGAGAAAAGAGGAACATACATGCCAAATTTCAAGTTTGTAGGCTTTACGGTTCTGGAGATTTTGTGATGATGCATGAATGCTATTTCACTTTTATATATTTTGATTACATTTTTATGATAAGGTGACTCTAGGTAGCTTCATTCATTCATATTTTTTTCTATTCATTTTTAATCAATAAAAATAATCCCAAAGTAGAATAGCTTTAAATTATTCTTTATTCAAAATAAGTTCAAAATATGACTAGATAAATTCTAGACAAGAAAGGAGGAGAAATTAAGTAATTCAGTTCATGGGGTTGTCATATTGAAAACCTATTTGATGTGAGGAAAGTACTGTAAGTACTGTAGTCAATTTATTTTGCTTGAGACAGACATAAGGAAAACTAACATTAAATTGTTCTCCTTCACACTGTTAGAATGGTCAGGATGTATTAGATGCTAAAAGTAGGTAATTCAAGTATATTATCCAATTTTCTGAATGCTTTCTATCTTAGAACAGTATAATAGCAGCAATAATAGAAATCAATTTTCACCTACTATGGTAGAACCTGCATCATTCAGGATTATTGTGACGTCTGAAGTACTTCAGTTCCTTTAATCTTAAAAGACAAAGATGTTGAAACAGGATGACAAATACTGGAAAGACTGAAATCTCTATTTCCCAAATTGATAATTAACAAGATTCCCACATACAGAATGCTCTGAAGAATTTGGCTTTGTATTACAACCTTTGAAAGAAATCAGATAATAACATTCAGATAATTTCTTTAAGATATATCAAGTAACTTAAGTTGCCTCTAAGAAAAGTCAGTTTAAGAGAAAAATGCTGCACTATATACAAAATAACTAAGGAAAAATATTATCAAAATATGAGAATCTGAATACTGCCATAATATCTTATCATACATCAAATCATATTTATAAACTGTAATTATGTTGCTTCCTTAATAATATAAATTGCATGCATATAAATGTAATAGTCAAGCACATGATAGTAATATAATTACTTCAATTATCCTTCAGTTTCTTTGTCACTTATCCCAAACATATATCAATATATCACCATCACTTGAGCAGATTGTAAGTAGGATTTTAAAGGATGTTTTCAACTTTGTCACTGGGCATTTTGCATAGCTCCATCCCACAATATATTTATGAATAAGTTTGAACAAATCATACTTACGATAACCACCTACAAGCACTCATGTGGTTATGATTGTTTTGTAGTTTTTGCCATCTGGACCGTCCCAAGTATCCATCACACCAAGAAATTAGCAAATTAGCTTGGAGTAAAGCTATCAGAAATCACTTATAGATTGTTGCTACTAAATAAACAAATAGTTAAAGTTCAATTATTTAACTCCTTTGATGATATAAAAAGAAAAACATAATCATATTTGTCTTTTAAGCATGAAATTAATTGCAACATTAATATAAATTACCTCAGAAAGCCCATGGATTTAAAGACCATTTTTTTCTTCAAAGCATATTCTTGTGTAATTGACTATAATATCTATGAGTATCTTTCTTATTCAGAGACTCATTCTCTTTGCAACTGTCATCAGTCCTAAATATTGCTAAGTGATTTGGATAATCTCTAGATAATTTCTCCCAGGTTGGTTTTTAAATAGCATACCAAATAAAATTGAGTTTTAAGAATAATGTGATAGAGTTTCTATGAAAAATTCGGTAATCACCAGATAGTCAACTTAATCTAGAAGTGCTAGAATTTATCAGCATCAGCAGTGAACATTTTTTCTCAGAGGTAGGTACTATTAACCAGTTATTTCAGTTCCTAATTACTAATTAATATTTAACATTAAAAAACAATAATCTAGTTGATCATATATTGGCATGCTAATTGACTATAAAGGTCCCTGTCTGCATTAATATATTTTGTGATGTATTTTTTTTCCAGACATCATTGTTCTCATCGCTTCAATAGCAGTTGTTTCTGCAAAAACTCAGGGTAACATTTTTGCAACATCAGCACTCAGAAGTCTTCGTTTCCTACAGATTCTTCGTATGGTACGCATGGACCGAAGAGGAGGAACTTGGAAATTGTTAGGCTCAGTGGTTTATGCACATAGTAAGGTAGGGACCCATCCATATATTTCATTTTTGTGAATATATTGAATGTATGCTGCAAAAAAAAAAAAGAATTCCAAATTTAAATGAATGATCCAAATAACTTGCAATATTTTGATGTGTGTTGGCCTTTCATGAGCATGTGCATGCATGTGTACATCTGTTGTCCATCCATCCCTTCTAACTTCAGAAGTCAAAGAACCATGGAACAAATTATTCTTATTGGAAAACCTGAGTGGTCTTATGTATGACCGCAATCTATACATTATAATAACAATTCTCTTTTGAAAGTTGCAACAATTTTTAAGATAATTTGAGATTTGTCATAGAAATGAGTTCTGCTGATTGAACAACAAATTTAAAAAGCCCACTTGCTATATCCAACTTCTGACATAAATGAAGTAGTTTGAATACTGAGGCCCTGAAACGGCATGAATAATTATATTTGTTAATTTAAGGGATAATTTGTATACTCAAGGAACTTTTCACATTTAACTAAAATGAACTATATTAATCTTATATTCCAACAAATACACAAATTCAGATAAATTATCAGAAATGTTTACTTTTTATTCTTATTTTATCTTACAGGAATTAATCACAGCTTGGTACATTGGATTTTTAGTGCTTATTTTTTCATCTTTCCTTGTCTATCTGGTTGAAAAAGATGCAAATGCTCAGTTTTCTACATATGCTGATGCTCTGTGGTGGGGCACAGTAAGTACAAAATCAATCAATCTTCGTAACATAAACTACTGTAACTTTCCCCAGCCTGGTGCCCTTTGGATTGAGTCTGCAACTTGATAAATTTCCAAAAAATGTCAATGGTTGGCTGGGAATGCTAGGAGGTTGCTGTCTTAACATAGCTGGAGCATAGCAGATTGACGAAAGCAGGTTTATGCTTTGCAGTATTTAATATTGTTTTGAATTTTATTAAATGAATGAACCTATTATATTGTATCTTGGTAAAGAAGGCATTGATAGGTTTAGGGGAAGTTGTTGAGGGCTATATACTAGCTGTGATTTTAGCCAATCCAAAACTATAGGAGCTAAAGAAAAAGTAGCTGAGATCTTGCTTGTTTGCTTTTCCTTCTGTCTCTCCCTCTCCCCCATCATCCATGTATCCTTCAATATTTCTTCTGTGATTCATGCTCAAACCAATGTGCTCATATCCTTTCACCCAAACATTGACGTAAAGAAAAATATATTCTCTACATTGTTAGAGGATTTCATGCATATCCATTTTTCTCTCTTTTCTACTTATTCATACACCTATGCCTCCCATACGTTTCTTCCACCTATAGCTTTTCATTCAAACTACCCTGTCCTTCTTTCCCAGACATGTAGTTTCTGTCTTCTTAACCAAATATTTATATTCTTATTGAGTTCTTTTTTTCCATTAGTAAAATGTTTCTTTTTTATAGAGTCAGGAATATATATATATATATGAAAAAGAAAAGCAAGCAAAATACAACTGGTTTAGAATGAGGGGGCATTCAGCTGGAGGTACCCCAGCAAACACCTATTCCAAGCACATAGAGCAGAAATCACCCAGTTGTGGATAGAAGACAGAATAAGTGATTGCACTGAATATAATTCTTTCAATTGTTATATAAGATTATAACTAAAACTTACATAAGTAATAAGCTTATGTTTCAAAATAAATACAGGTTGTTGTCGTTAGTTGCAGAGTCGTGTCCAACCCATCGCAACCCCATGGATAGTAGTCTTTGCTTAATCACAGTAATTGAGACCAGAAACTCCGTTGGTAAATGACATGGTGGTCTCTCAGGGCAACATAACATTACTCTGTTGGCTTACAGCAGCAGTTGCAGCAATTCCAGTTGCCATTGTTAAGCGAATTCTATGGGATCTCTAAGTGCAACATCATATGGTTGCCACTTGTGACCACCTGCTTGCTTCCCCATTGACTTTGCAAGTTGGAAGCTGGCAGTAAAGATTGCAAATGGTGAACACATGACTGTGGGACACTGTGTCCATCATTATCGCGAGCTGTTTACCAGATGTCCAAACCATGATCATATGACTGCAGGGGTACTGTGACAGCCACAACAGTGAGGTCATAAGTCTCCTTAGTCGATACCATCATAAATTTGAATGGTTACTGAACAAGCGATTGCTAAGTGATGACTTAGTAAAGCCTCTTTCCTTTAGGCATTATAGAAACCGAAACAGTAGCTCTGGAAAAAGATTTTGAAAGTTTTATGTAGAAAAATAAGAATGTTAAGCCATTAGAGTTAACTCTCAAACCTGAATGATGAAAGACTAGACTCTGAGCCATTATTTTTATCAGAGCAAGAGTGTGAATTTGTAGCTATCGTGACATTTGACTCTGAAGTCCTGCAACACTCTACATTGTTTGTGTTGAAATTGCAGTCTTTCAGACACTAAGCGTAACTGTAGTAGCTGGGCACATTAGATCAGGCTAAAATGAAGTTCTATACGTTTTGGTACAATACTTTGTGTGACCCAGCATTATTTTGGCATATTTTGAGAAACAAGTCATTAGGTTAAGACAGGAAAATTTATATGTTTGGGTTTAGCATTTTTTTTTCTTAAATCTGACTGAAAATTTAATGTATTGAATATTCCCAATTAATCAGTCCTGAATAAGATTTAAGGAGAACAAACACACACCTGTATTCCTGTTTAGGAACATTTATCTTAATTTGACATACTTTACCTTGCTTTGATCCATCCTGCTGCAAAAAAGGCTTGGCCTAACTATTTCCATTTTTGTGTGTGTGTGAGAGCCTCATACTATAACTGTATATGATGGCAATAAACAGGAGAACAAAATCTCACCAGCCATAACTGAGCACTGTCAGCTAATCAAACTATCAGCCCTGGCCTATTCACCTTTGTACAACTCCTTTCTTAAAGATTGATCTTTAATCAAAATGATTTGCCCCAAGGATTGGATTTTAATTTAACAAATAGCCAATACATATTAGGAGTCTGAGGATGGCTTTAACATTTTATTCCATCATTTTTACAGTACTCTTATTCAGTTAATGCTCTGTTTTTCTGTTCTAGTGAGAATTCAATATGATTAAAAAAAAATAAGCATCAAAACACAAAGCAATATAAAATACTAAAAACATATGCTAAAATTAATACTAAATTTAGCTAACAATTTACAAAATGAAATAAAGAGATGTGTCTCTGCAGATTTCAAAATGCCTGAGAGAATGGGGACCAAGCACAACTCCTACAGGAAAACTTTCCATATCCTAGGAGAATAGAGGCCTTTTCCCTTCATGCCAGAAATTGATTTTAAGAGCCAGATTAGTTTATAAAAGGAAGCCTGACTGTTTAGGGTTTTAAAGGTACTTGGCAAATGAGCTGCCATATAAATTAAATGAATAAGTAAATCAGATTTAGGAAAGAGTTTATTTTTTATTCATTTGGAATGTGTTTTCTTTTCATTTGGAATGCTTATTAAAAGATGCATCCCAACAGATGGGCACATCCCTTGAGGATGTGGCATTGCCAAGTGACTGCATCATTCATTAAGAGAGCTTCCTATTTCAGATAACACTTGTGTAATATCCTACTTAATAATTCGCTACCAATTCCTTGAATGTGTCCCACCTACACTTTACACCCTGCAGTGATTACATTCATAAAGGAGACTACACTGTCTTTCTGAACCACTAAGGGATGGTAGTTCTACATGCTGGAATGTCCTGTTTTATAATTGAGCTGATAAGAGTTAGATTACAGATTTTACTAACTATAACAACCACATTATAATTTTAAAAATTATACTTATAATATCATATTGTGTTTATTTTTGAGGTTTGATTAACTATATAATAACACTTAATTAGGTAATAATAAAGCAGTCATGATGTTGATGTTATCCATTCAGTCGTATCTGACTCTTGGTGATGCTATAGGCCAGTTCTCTCCACATCTTCCAATCTTGCACTACTTCTTTGAGTTTTTCTATGCTCTGATTTGTAACATCATCTATAACATCTTTTCAAATGGCAGACATTTTTAAAATTAACTTTTGATTCCATTGTTCGCAAACATCCTTCAATACATCCGATGTTAAAGGGCTCTGCTAATTCTGTATTTATAAGACAGATTTAAGTTTTCCTCTCCTTTAATTGTAATCTTCAATTCCTCCATGTTTTTCTGTAGCATCCAACCTTTAAAGTCCTATTTTATCATTTATTTTTAAGAATTCAAAAAAACAGCATCTTTCCACAGGACAGATACTTATAATTAATTTCGAAATCTTATTTCAAATCTATCTGGACCATTTGTAATTTGCTAAAATCACCCTTTTGCTGTTTATTCAAAAACATGTTTTTAAGTCCTTCAGCTTGTTCAAATGATGCCCATATAGGCTGCATTATGGCTGTGAGCTTGTTTGAAACCCTTCAACTCCCATCTGCTCAATTCACAAGTAAACTACAAAAACCTCAATTTCTTCAGCCTACTCACAAGAAGCCATTATCTTGCAATATTTCACCAGTCAAAATTCATCATCTGGCCACCAATCTCCACCATGACTCCCACTTTTTTAGGAACATCTAGTTCTCCATGAATCCTCACTAGAAATCCTGGAATGTTTAAACATAATAAAGTGACTCCTCTGAACCTCAAGCCAAGAGGCAGCAGCTAGGGGATTGACCTGATTTTGTTAACCTTCGTGGTTCATCACCCAAAGCAGTTATTTAGGGTGATGTGGTGTGAGAGTCAGACCTCATGTTCTATGTAGCTTGTTCACAGCTACTAAAAATGACAGCATTCAAATTTATCATCAGTCCAGATTTATATTCATTGTAACACATCGGATGAAATATAGTTATATCATGGAAAAAAATTAAACTATTTTAAAATCTAGATTGAGGAATAATAGTATTTATTTTTTACTGTATGTTTCTCCTTCATTACGTATGTTGCAATTTGGAGAAATATGAGCGAACTCTAACTTCCCGCCTCCACAAAATAACTTTGAATCCAGATTTGGAATTTAAAATCTAAATTGCTTTTGAGTACATTGGGTGCATCACAATGTAAAAGAAAAAATTATGTTCAGCTCTGTTGCTTAAGAACTCCCTAAGTGTTAGAAACATAGTTCAAATGCAGCAAGAGATCTCTGATATATTTAATGCTGCAGAATTTTTGTCAGAGCTTCAGAACCTGTTGACTGTGAAAAAGAACAGAGTGGATTTTGTTCTTCAAGAAAAATGTGTTGCATATTCTTCCTTTTTTAATCTTTTGGTTCTCAATTATACAAAAATCTACAATGCTTCTAATAGGAAGGACTCTGCTGTTGAGGCTTTAATCCTTATTGCCATTAAAAATAGGGAGCAGTTGGTGTTAACCTTTTTATAAGCTTATTTATTTTTTGTCAAATAGATCTTGGAAACATTTCTCTCTTACTCTCAGGTGCCTGGCAATGATCAGATGAATGCCAGATCATTCAGGTTCATTCCTGATCAAACAAGCTAACTAATGCAGCTTTACTGAAAGAGTAACTCTGTGGAATGATTAGCCCTGCAAGAAAATTAAGGATTTTGATAGCTCTTTGTTAATACTTCAGCTCTTAATTGCCTCTGCATTCATTTTGGAAATATAATTTATCTTTATTAAACTAATTAGAGGTAAATTCCTAGGACTTTAAAAACAACATTTCAGGCCAGAGATTGAACCTTTTCTAATCTCACAAAGGGGAGTATGAATGCATTTTTGCATACGGAACAGCTATTCCAATGCTCAAATCCATAACTACATTCTGATGTTTGGATCAGTAATGGGAGGAACAAGCCTTGACATCTGTAATGGTACTTATTGAGACTGTGCTATGAAAGTCCATTTTAGCCCAAAGAGTTTGCAAATACTACATTTACCACAGTGAAAAAGTTATATGAGATTTTTATATTATATGTCCATATTATTTCTCTTGAAAGAAATGTTCTTTACAGTTCTCATTGTAAGATGTGCCTGCAGTGTATAGTATCCAATATAAATGTATCAATCTGTCTTGCTATGCTTGTAAGTGATACTGATAAAATTTGATCAAGTAAGATGCCAAATTCCTCCTTGAGGATTAAAGTAATAGCAACTTCATGGCTTTGTCTGAGTGAAATTAAAAGCAAGAGTGGTCATCAAAACAGTATCATATAGCTATAGCTAGTGCATGTTATTCATGGTCTTAGAAAAAGCTTAGATTTTAGAAGAAAGTCCTAACCGAGAACCAAAATGTTACCTTACTGTGGTTTAAGATTGTAATGAAACTGCAGGTAGTCCTTGACTTACAACAGCTCATTTAGTGACTGTTCAAAGTTACAACGGCACTGAAAAAAGTGACCTATGACCATTTTTCACAGTTACAACTTTTGTAGCATCCCCAGGATCATGTGATCAAAATTCAGATGCTTGGCAACTGGTTCATACTTATGACCATTGCAGTGTCCCGGGGGTCATGTGATCATCGTTTGCAACAAGCAAAGTCAATTTATTTTTATTTATTTATTTGATTTGTCAATTGTTTACAAGATAATAAGTACAAGTGTATACATAGTTGTGAATATATGGAATGGGTACATATAAGAAAAATAAAAGAATAAGAGAAACAATAGGACAGGGACGGTAGGCACGTTGGTGCGCTTATGCACGCCCCCTACAGACCTCTTAGGAAAGGGGTGAGGTCAATAGTAGACAGTCTAAGGTTAAAGTTTTTGGGGTTTGGGGAAGAGACTACAGAGTCGGGTAGGGAGGAGCCAGATACACTTAACAACTGTGTTACTAATTTAACAACTGCTGTGATTCACTTGACAATTGAGGCAAGAAAGGTCATAAAATGGAGCAAAACTCACTTAACAAATGTCTCACTTAACAACAGAAATTTTTGGCTCAATTGTGGTCCTACAGTAGGTTGAGGATTACCTGTACTTGCTGATCTGCTGATTAGTTGCTTGCTTGCTTGCTACATTTTCTCATTCATTCAGAACACTAACACTGTGTGAATAAAGAATAAAATTTACAAAATTCCTTGTTTGTGTGTGATGGGGCCAGCTCTCTGGAAGAGCCTCTTGCTGGAGATTTAGTCAGCTGCCATTTTATCTCCCTTCCAGAAACAGCTGAAAACTAAGCTTTTCCATAGGAAGTTTTGATGTTGATATCAGATCTAAATTGTGATTATATGCAGTTTTATATGTTTTGTTATTGGTGTTACTGTCTTTTGATTGGCTTCTGAGAGTTTTTTTTTATGATTACAGCAGGACAAAATGCATTAAATGTATAAAGAAAAAAAATGTAAAGAAGTATTTCAACTTTTGTTGAAATTCTTCATCCTCATCATGTCGCCAGAGTGTGAACTGAAAAAAGCCTGAAAGAATTCAGTGTGTCTCCTGAAAAGCTGGGCTCCCACTGAAAAGCTCAAGCAGAGAATGTTCAGCATGTTGTTTTGTGCAGCCCAACCCATCTGGGCAAGGCATAAGAACATAAACAATAACCAACAAACAGGCTACATCAACATCTCTATAAATGCTGGTTTCCAAATCCTTTTTGCTGAAATAATGGAGGAGCGTGAGGCATTTTTATGTAGGAATATCTTGGCTGGAGAGGAGCTGTGATCATCTCTCTGCCTAGTCATTTCCCCCTCTTCAACACTGCCAGCCCCTAGTCAGGCTTATATTCACCTTGACTGAAGAAAATGTATTTTGAAAATATTCAAAGCAACTTGAGAAGCAGAGGTGATCATAGTGACTAAATGTCATTGAAACAACGGTGAACACCCAGAGGGAAATCCCACTGTTTCCTTTTTATATATATATATAAGCTGTCTCTATATACTTTGGAGAGCTAATGTTAAAATTCTTGATATCTGTACTGTCTGCATTTTTTTTCACCCTGGTTTATTTTCATTTATTTTCAGATCACATTAACAACAATTGGTTATGGAGATAAAACGCCTCTTACTTGGCTAGGAAGGCTGCTTTCTGCAGGGTTTGCACTGCTTGGCATTTCTTTCTTTGCGTTACCTGCTGTGAGTATTTTTACAACTGCGTTTTAAATTTGAAGGACATTATACTCTGTGCTGGATATATGAGAAACAATGTTAGTCACTTATATCAGTGCATTTATAAACCCATGTTAACTTTTGTCATTGCATAGAAAACTTAAATTTTAAGGTGCTTTAAGAGCTTACATATCCCCAATAATAAATTTATGGGACATCCAAAGTTTTATTTGGTAACATTGCATCCAAAACAATGTTTACATGGAGCTAAGATGTGGTTAAATCCATCTCCACTATGCTTTATCCAAACATATCTTTCATAATGTTGTTAGAATCTCAGTAAGTATTAGTAATCAATATAATACGTCCATTATAGAGTTCTTTTAAATTGTAATTACATGTTAAAGTATTTTTACATATAAATTAAATGTTGGAGTATTTTCCACTTCTTATGCAAGATTTCTTGCTAAGAAATTTAATTATCCTTTAAAAAAAACAGAAATCATTGTCAGAAATCATCTATAAGGAATGTTTATCAGCTAACAGGCTAAGGAACGTATTGGGAATTTTTGATCAGATTATGAGTATTTTTAATTTACTTCATTTGGGTTAGTAATGAGGAAGTGAAGAAACATTATTAAATATTAATAAGTCTTTATTGATTAGTCCTTGGGCCATATCAAAGTGCAAAGTTCCAGCAACAATTTGTTACTAAAATTTAATAAAAGCAATTCAAAATGAAATTTGATAAAATACTATTTAAAATGGAACTTGATAAAATACAATTTAAAATGGAATCTAGACAAAATGCGATTTAAGATGAAATAGTGATAAAATACAATCCAAAATAAAATTGTAATAACGTATAATAATTTAAGATATAGATAAAGTATAATAACCTTATATTTCAGAGTTGCCTAAATATTAATTAGTAAAGCATTTCCTACCATGTTTCTCCAAAAAGAAGTCTGAGTCTTATTTCCTTTTGACCCCCGACAAAATGGCTAGGCCTTCTTTTTGGAGGGTTCTAATTATTGACTCACCTCATGGTGGTGGCACTGATAGCCCCACCCAGCAGGAGCCCACTGCTGGTCCACTTCTTCTGCAGCCGCTTGCCGCCACTTGCACACATCACCCCAGTCTCCTTTTCACCTTCAGATGCCTTCCGGAAAACCTTCTGCAGCCGATCATAGAGCTCTGGATTGATCCAGAGCTTTATGAACGGCTGCAGAAGGCTTTCCGGAAGGCATCTGAAGGTAAAACGGAGGCTGGGGCAGTGCATGCAAGTGGCGGCAAGCGGCCGCAGAAGAAGGCGAGGCAGGTGTCAGGGTGTGAGAGGCCTGGTAAGTAGGGCAGCTCCACACCCCATCCCCACCCTAGCTTATTTTTTACCTGTGTGCCTTGCCTCACCCCCTGCATCCTGGGGTGGGCAGGGTCTTAATTAGGGCTAATTTTGTGGGTGGGACTTAATTTGATCACATGCGCTCAAAAACTTCTTTTCAAGGTGGGTCGTCTTTTTGGAGAAACATGGTACTAGAAAATATAACACCAGACAAACAAACAAGCAGCCTAATCAAGGAACTGCAAGGACAAAATCACACCCACACCAGCAATGACAGAGCATGCTGCTATATATCAACGGGGAGAGGGGAGGGGCAAACTTCACTCCCTTCTAGCACTGAATATCTTACCTAGTCAGGTAACAAAACCTCTGCAAGCAAAAACTAAGCTCAGAGAAGGAGCTCCATTGAAACATTTGCCTCGGAGTAGATGCTGTTTTTGATCCTGCTGCTAACTGATGCTCTTCAAGAAAATTTATTGTTTGGCTGCTAAAATCCAGGGACTTTTCACAGTTAAAAGTTAAGCTTCCTCATAAACAGATATCGACACCTTCTTGAAAGTTTTAGCTATTTCAAACTGCACTAAATGGGAGTAAAATACGCTGTAAATGCAACCCAATACATATAGTCTAGAGCTCTCTAGTGATCTTGATTTGAAGAGCAAAATCTGATTCAAAGCACACACGGGTACACTTAAGATGCCAGAGGAGAATAAGACAAATGTGTATTTTTTTTCCAATGAAGGGCTGTGGTACATTGGTGCGGTGTTCTAATAGCAGCTTCATGCACATTCATGTGCAACTGAATTACAGTGAGTCCTTCAAATCGGGGTCTCTGCACAGCCAAGCATGTATCTTTAATATTTCCATTAATAATAATCTATTTCTAAACATGCAAATAATATTTCACAGTACACTAAACATTTTCCTTTTACTTGCATGTGGGATGCTGCACTTTTATTAGGTTGACATAAACATAACGAACATCCTGGTTCAAATACCAAATTAACCATAGTTTCATTTAAGGTTAATGAGGAATATACTAACATTTTTATTTAGTTGTAATATGAAATGATAAAACTACAGAACTGGTAGAATTAATAAAATAACTAAGAATGTAATTTATACATTGCAAAACAGATTCAAGCTTCTATTAAGCAGAATTTTGTTTTATTGAGGACTAGAAACCTATACCCTGTTGGGTCATCATTTCAGAAATATTTTCTTACCTAAACAGAATAACAGAATGACCACAGATGGGCATAAAAGCATTAGGAACAGGAGTGACTTCTAATTTCCTACCAGCTTTCCCACTGAGTTTCCTTATGGGAAGCTGGCAGGAAACATCAGAAATCCTTCCTTCCTTCCTTCCTTCCTTCCTTCCTTCCTTCCTTCCTTCCTTCCTTCCTTCCTTCCTTCCTTCCTTCCTTC